CTTTTTGGCTGATATAAGATTTCAAATCTTGGTTAGGTGGACAGTTTTTGCAGTGTACAAACACTCAAGTCTTTCTGTTTTGTTGCATTTTTGAGTCTGAGAGAAATAGGGTTGGGCATAATCGTATCGTGTGCAATTAATCGTCAGAAAAACATTAATCGATTATTTTTTGGCACTTGATGATTAATACGATTAATGCCACCAGGCAGAGTCCACTCGCTGCTCCTCTTTGCTTCAAATATGACAAACACTTTTTAAAAAAAGTTCAGTAATTAATTTATCAACACAATTTAAAATTTGATGTATAGCCTCAAGTCTGTGATTTTGACAAAATCTGGAACAGATTTTTACAAAGAGGAACTCTTCTAAACTGGTCATGTGACATGGACATAAGGGGGTCCAGGGGATTAATCGTCAAATTAATCGTTATCGGCTAAATACCACAATTAATCGTGATTAATTTTTTTGCCAATATTGCCCAACCCTACTGTCATTGTAACTATATATAGTTAGAAATAAAAGCAATAACATAATATTGCTATTGTAGGGGTTAACCTACACTTTCTTATAATAAAATTATAAGAAAATTCACGAGTTCTTCTGTTTAAGGAAGAACAACTCTGTGCAAATATGAGAGAAACACACAATAAGTGAACGTATTCAGGAATTTAAGTTGATCTAAAATACATGAGATTTATTTACAAAATCAAATAAATTACTAAGTACGTTAACCCACACTATTATTTCTGTTACAGTTATTGTGGGTGAACTTGATGTTCTTTTCATACTGTTGTTCACATTTTTCTTTTACACATTTTAAACTCGTGCTTTTTAAAACACATTCAACATGTTTGCTTTTTTATCACCTTACATCACAACAACCCCTTTCTTSTTTTCTTTTAGATTACACTGCAGGTGTAATCTAAAAGAAAAGGTGTGTTTTTGCACCTATGCAGCGTATTAGATGTCTCACGAAGCTGAGGTAGCCCTGAGCGAATTGATGTATTTATAAAAGTTTACCTGATGCATTTTTAATAAGAGAATTCTGCGAGTCTCCAGCTACAGAACAGAAGTCCAGCTGCTTCGTCTTTGTTCTTTTCATTTATTACTAAAGTCTGAAGGAGGTCCCATTTTAATATGTGATACACACACACGCACGCACACACGCACAAAAAAAAAATCTAATCTAAGACCTGCACTGAGCATAACTTACTTTCTGATCCACCTCCAAGACCTCTGGCGCCCCCTAGGGGAGGCGCGCCCCACAGTTTGAAAACCCCTGGAATATACAAAGGCCTGACTCTCTGATGGTATGGGGGTGCATTAGTGCTTCTGGTATGTGCAGCTGCCGCATCTGGACAGGCTCCTTTTATTGCAAAAAAAATCTTTACAGGTTTTATAACATCCAAAAAGCATGAGCTGATTCTTGAACATCTGAAATCATCCATTAGAGCAGAATGGGACAACATTCCCTCCAAATCCTCCAGAACTGGTTTCCTCAATTTCCTCAAAACCTCCAGAACGGATCTTCTCAGATCCTGGACGTTTACAGACTGTTGTTAAAAGAGAAGGAGATGCTACCACCACTAGAAATACTTTCTTTTTTTCTTTCATATAAATGATCCAATTTATTAATTTAAACYTTTTGAACATTTGATTTAGAAAATTTGCAAATCATCTTCTTCGTCTTCTGTTTTAATTACATTTCATCTCCTCTCCAAAAATAATGTAATGTTCTTCTTTAGCTTAAGCAACACTTGCAGAAACTCTGCCGGGTCTTGTTCCAGTTTGAATTATTTTTAAAAGTAGAACTTCAGCATAAACTCGGCTCACACTGCTCCTCGGACAGTGAATTCTTGGAAAGCAGCTATCATGGCTTCATTAGTTTTGAGCATTAATTGGCCTGAATTGGAGCTTAATTCCATTAATTTCCATGACAAAAACCTAATTTCAGCCAGTTTATTAAAAAATGAACAAACATTAGATTTTTTTCTCCCCTCTCTGTCATTAATGAAGTTTTCTGTCTGGCCGCCTGGTTTGGCGCCGGTGTTACCTCGTGGGTGAGGACGTTGACTCTCTGGTGCAGGTTGCCGTTTTCCGACTGCAGCAGCGCCGTGTCTTTACTCTCGAAGGAGCAGTAGGAGTTGGTGTCCTCACCGAACTCGCTGATCATTGGGAACTACAGAAACGGGAACAAACACCATGAAAAAAAAAGCCTGCTTTCTTTCAGCCAAAGCTGAACCTTTTATATATTTCAAGGTAACAAGATGTTTGAACATTTCTCTCTCTCTGCCGTTTACGCCCATTTTCAGTTTTTCATCGCTGATCGAGCTGAATGTTCTGATGCATGTTTTTGTCTGAAGCTGCCAGATGTGAAAACTAACAAATACGGTGATTAAAAAAAAAACTATCTACAGAAGGTAATTAAAGAACCGTTAAAAACAGTCGGGGTAGTTTACGAGCAAATATTTTTCAAGCCCGCTAACAGAGCATTGTGTTATTGTTCTGAGTTTAAATCAGCAGCACGACACAATAAATCATTGTGTGTGTTAATGGGTGAGAAGTGTAATAATGTGGCTCACTGCTGCATCTTATGAAACTGCAGTGCAGGCGGCTGTAAAAAACACATTTATATGGTTTTAGGATCAAGTTGGTTCATGTTTTCTTCTTTTTAAATTTTATGTAAAAGTTTTCTTATTCTCATTTGATTTTACGTATTAAATTTGGAAGTTGAGTTGGTTGAAAACAAACTAGTTGTTATGCGAAAGTGGTGATTGAAACATCATGGTCGTAGAACCTGAACGAACGCATTTAGTGCAGCTACAATAACGGTTTCTCGTTTTCTGCGCGAGGTCGTTTCTCTGCTGATGAGATGTCCGTGTGAGGAGGAAACAACATTTTTTTTCCATTTAACAGAGCATCTCTCTCTGCTCCGTTTAACGGTAAATGGGGTAAACATGTGCAGCTTTCTCTTCCCCGAGGACTCCGGTTTTCTCACGGGCTTCAGGAACAACTTCGCCTCAGAACTCCTGTTTTAAATCCAAAGCGTTTCTCTTTTTTTCTTTATTTAGATATTAGAGAGGGTGAATCGCAAAACACAAACTGATACAAGATGTAGAAACTATTGATTTATCTATATAAAAATGTCCAATTTATTTAAAATGCACAGTCTTTTTAATTACTGCGTACAAACATTTAAATTGGAGAACAGTCATGAAAAATGCAATTAAAGAAGGTTTCAGCTGGGTAACGACTGAAGATGTTGCAGCAACACGATCACAGCTGACACATCGTCTCCTCTAAATGGTCGAACATCTGCACCTGTTTTACCAAAACCAACACCTGTCTCGGCAGGAATCCGCTGAACAAACCGGCGCCGGAGAAGAAACCAACAGCCGTTTGGCAGCCCGAAGCCTTCGGTAACAGCTGCTCGCTAAAAACCGGGCTGCAGTTCTGAAAGTGCATTTACAGACATCTGAAATTCCTCTTTTCTCCTCTTTCTGGGGGGATGGATTCAAACAGCGTGTTTGCACAGAAGGCGTTTTCTTCTAGGAGCTTGCATCTTTTGTCCTCCTGAGATTTTCAAGCGCAGCAGCGCAGGGGCGGATCTAGGCTTTTTCTGAGTAAGGGGCCACAATATTCACAGAGGGGCCAAGTATTTGTTCAACATCCTTGCACATAAATCCTCGGTTTTTGGTAAGGTGTATAAATTTAACCGGTCACATACACTCACCGGCCACTTTATTAGGTACACCTGTCCAACTGCTCGTTAACACTTAATTTCTAATCAGCCAATCACATGGCAGCAACTCAGTCCATTTAGGCATGTAGACATGGTAAGACAATCTCCTGCAGTTCAAACCGAGCATCAGTATGGGGAAGAAAGGTGATTTGAGTGCCTTTGAACGTGGCATGGTTGTTGGTGCCAGAAGGGCTGGTCTGAGTATTTCAGAAACTGCTGATCTACTGGGATTTTCACGCACAACCATCTCTAGGGTTTACAGAGAATGGTCCGAAAAAGAAAAAACATCCAGTGAGCGACAGTCCTGTGGGCGGAAATGCCTTGTTGATGCCAGAGGTCAGAGGAGAATGGGCAGACTGGTTCGAGCTGATAGAAAGGCAACAGTGACTCAAATAACCACCCGTTACAACCAAGGTAGGCAGAAGAGCATCTCTGAACACACAACATGTCGATCTTTGAGGCAGATGGYCTTCAGCAGCAGAAGACCACACCGGGTGCCACTCCTTTCAGCTAAGAACAGGAAACTGAGGCTACAATTTGCACAAGCTCATCGAAATTGGACAAGAGAAGATTGGAAAAACGTTGCCTGGTCTGATGAGTCTCGATTTCTGCTGCGACATTCGGATGGTAGGGTCAGAATTTGGCGTCAACAACATGAAAGCATGGATCCATCCTGCCTTGTATCAACGGTTCAGGCTGGTGGTGGTGGTGTCATGGTGTGGGGAATCTTTTCTTGACACTCTTTGGGCCCCTTGGGACCAATTGAGCATCGTTGCAACGCCACAGCCTACCTGAGTATTGTTGCTGACCATGTCCATCCCTTTATGACCTCAATGTACCCAACATCTGATGGCTACTTTCAGCAGGATAATGCGCCATGTCATAAAGCTGGAATCATCTCAGACTGGTTTCTTGAACATGACAATGAGTTCACTGTACTCAAATGGCCTCCACAGTCACCAGATCTCAATCCAATAGAGCATCTTTGGGATGTGGTGGAACGGGAGATTCGCATCATGGATGTGCAGCCGACAAATCTGCGGCAACTGTGTGATGCCATCATGTCAATATGGACCAAAATCTCTAAGGAATGCTTCCAGCACCTTGTTGAATCTATGCCACGAAGAATTGAGGCAGTTCTGAAGGCAAAAGGGGGTCCAACCCYTTACTAGCGTGGTGTACCTAATAAAGTGGCCGGTGAGTGTATGTTCCAACAATAGTAGCATAATGTAATGTTGTTAATAAAGCTCCCGTATCAATTTTACATGCATTTTTACTGTAAATGGATGAAATATTCTCAAAGCATGAGAGAAAATGAAGCCATTGTTTGCCAGTTGAAAGATATTTTTTGCAAAATTGTTCGTATTTTAAAGGCACAGTGTGTAGGATTTTGACAAGTCTTTTAGCGAAATTGAGATAATCTCTAATGACAATAATAAAAAAACATGTCTAATCATTGCATTGCATTGTGTGTGCGCATCTCTAAATGCGCACACACAGWTACTTCATTACACAATATTAATAATCATGTTTAAAGACCTTGTTTTATTATTTTTACCTTATAAAAAGCTGTTTATATCTCTATGGTCGCGGGTCGCCACAACAGGCAGCCGCCATCTTGCACCGCCATCTTGTCTACGAAGGCTCATGAAGGACAAACTGCGGTGGCGGCTCAAAAACGGTTTTAGTTGTAATATTATAAATGTAATATTTGCTGTTTGTCATTGTAGCTGGGATAATTTTACTTATTAAAGCTCATAATCTTACCACTTCAAACATCACTAGCCCTGAAGCTGCTGGTAGACATCGCGGTTGGAATTATCAAAGGTTTTTGACACCTGAGAGACACCGTAGCAACTCCTTTTTTTTGGAAGCGGGGGGTGGGGGTGGGGGGAGGACCAGGGAGGATGATTCAACCACTCAACAACTAGATGTCGCTGAAAACAACAAATCCTACACACTTTTAAAGAAGAGAAGAAGACTGCTGTAAGTTTGATTCATGCTGGACTTTACTGTTTGACTCATTAGCTCCTCTAGTGTTTGGGCACGGAACTGCAACCACCACCATTACTCTCAGGCAGAGGACAGATGAGTGACAGGACAGGGGCACTTCAGGGGGCCAATCAGATTTCAGCAGGGGTCAATGCCCCTGTGGCCCCGCCCCCTAGAACCTCCCCTGCAGCAGCGTCTTTTTTTTTTGTTTGGATTCTGTTACCTCACCTGTGCACGCCCCAGAACCTGAGCGTCCTAAAGTATCTAAAAGTTAAAAGACGGATCCGAACATTAGAAGGACGAATTTCCTCGAAAAAGCAGAGCACTAAAGACTAATGATGGGGAGAATATCCAGGGGTGCATTTCTCTTTTCCACTAATCCTCCTTTGTTCTTCAATTCAACAATTCATCTCCTTCTTCCTCTTCACATCATTATCTCCTTTTTACTCCCTCGTCTCCTCCTCCTCCTCGTGGCTGCCAGCCTGTGCGGATCTTTACTTCAACCTTTTTTCCCATTTTTCCTCATTTTCAACCCTCCCACGGAACCCGTTATATGTTTTGTTCCCTAGTTTGATCAGAAATCCATCTAAAGGGAGAGTTTTGCTTCACCCCTCTCATCTTAACAACAAACAAACATCCAGGTCCATCTCCTGAAGGACAACAATGGCAGCCTCTATAATTTCACAATCAAAATGCAYATAAAATATTGGATTTGTTGGTTTTTGTTGCACAAGACTAAAAATTGATTCGAACTTCTGGAATGTTTGCCAAGATCCTGAGTGTTCTGTTAGCCTCTGCAGACAAATTCAGCCCACATTACAGCTGATGAACCAGCGGTCTTCCTCCTTTAAATCATTACATCTCTTTAAGCTGCTTTGACTCGCCGCCTTTGATGCCTCCTTTTTGAGGTGCTCTCCACCTCACGTCCACTTTTACTTCCCAAACTGCCTGAATTAATCGGCGTAACATCTGCCGTCTGAACCTCAGGCGTCACGTTTCCACACACACGGCAGACAGGAAGTCCCAAAATAAATCCACCCTGCCAAAATCAAATTATAAGAAACTGCTGCTATAATTGCAGATGGATTTAATTAACTTATTGCTTCAAGTGAAACTGATTGAACTGATAGTGAGAGACAAAAATTTTCTTTGTCTCAGTTTTTTTCATTAAATTGAGTGGATTTGCTTTGTCATTTTTCAACCTGAGGCTCCAGATGGTTTGTTACATAAAACCATGCAAGAAGCCTTTTGTTGGAAACTGTTTWAAAAAAACAGACACTTTCAAAAAGTACTTGGCAGCAGATCGGACCAGCAGAGCTGACTAACAAAGAGGAGCCAGTTGGTAAAATCAAGCCAGTCAGGAAGAAAAGAAAAGCTGCACTTTTAATAGAAATGACCTAGAATTGCTGTAATGAACGCGTATCGCTCGCCGCCGTTCATGACAGAGTTTTACGCTGAAATCATTTTATATTGTGATCTTTTTAGTCAAGCTTTGAGAATTATATTTGTAATCACATGCAGCAGTCATGCTGTGTTGTGAATGATGCTCAGCTACTACCACACCAAAGTTCAGCTCAATGTCTGTAATTTTTTATTAGCTAAAATTGGGGTTTTGAATCATTGAACCATTTCTGAGAGTTTAATGGAAATTTTCCCAGCCATTCATTAAATATTTTGCTAACAGACAAACTGTTTGTTTGCTGTATTGTAGTCTACTTAGCTACATTTAGCTAGCATTCTGCTACTTTTATCTTATAGGAGCCTTTTGCTACTTTTAATTTTTATTTACACTTTTGTTACTTTTAGCTATTTTTTTGCTGTTTTTTTGCTATTTTTAGTTTTTTACCCAGCCTTCAGATACATTAGCTACCAGTTTGCTACTTTAGCTTTTAGCTAGCCATTTGATCCTTTTAGCTAGTCATTTGATTATTTAGCTACCCTCCCGTACTTTTAGCTCTTGACTAAACCTTTGCTAATTAACTTCAAACAAGTCTTTTAATTATTTTACATTTAGCTAGCATCTTGCTACTTTTAGCTTCAGACTAGCCTTTTGATGCATTAGCTACTGTTGCGCTACTTTAGCTTTTGGCTACCAGTTTTAGGTAAACTTCCCCTGCTGTTTTTTATTTTTATTCTTCCAACTTTATTTGTCAAAACATCATTTACAAGGAGATAATCTGAAAAACAAATGTCAGTTWTGTGCGAATACAATTTCTGGAACAGAACAGTAAATGATATCAAAATAGTAAGAAAGAAACTAACAAAATTGAAAATAATAATAATAAAATTAAATTAAAACAGGGGAGATTTCAATTGTTTTAACATCAAGTTTATTGTCAGAGTTTTTTTTTTCTTTTTGTTGGTTTCCTTTCAAAATATTTGAAACTGGGAATATGATATTTAGCTAGAACAAGTATTAATGAGAAATTCTGGATGATTAAATTTGTAATTAAGGACCAAACTTGGTGTGTATACACCCCTCAGGGGGACACACCTTCTGACCAAGTTTGGTGGACCTAGGCCACGCCCTTCTTGGGGCTGTCATAGACTCCCATTCATTTTTGAAGTCCAGATAGGAGTGTCCTACGGAGATGGGAGTTGGTTTGGTTAGGGTTAGGGTTAGGGTTAGGGTTAGGGTTAGGGTTAGGTAATAGGATGAAAACCCAAAAATGTCGACGTACTTAACTTCTAGCGAAAAAACTAAAAGCGGGAGGGACCTCAAACTTGGCTCAGGGCACCCCCCAGAGGGGCCCCACCTTTGTGCCAAGTTTGGTCCATGTGGCTCCTTCCCTTCACATAGCTGTCATTGACCCCCATTATAAGAAAAAGACGTACTTAGCTTATAGCGCAAAAACTAAAAGGTACTTAATAGTGAGACCAAGTAAGACGTTTCCAAATAAGAGAAAATTGTGTTTTATATTATAGTGTATTAATTTACAAAGATTTTGGTATTTAGCTAATTTGTTCTTGCTTCAAGCATTTGGTGAACTTTAGCTATTGTTTTTTTCAGTTGAAGGATAACTTTTTTGCAACTTTTAGCTTCTAGCTAGCATCTTAATTTTTAGCTTTTAGCTAGCGTTTTGCTTCTTTTAGCTTTAACCTAGCTTCTGTAATAAACTTCAGCAGTCACTGAGCGCTCAAAATTTACATAAAATCAAAAGTATTAGTTTTTTATTTCATCACCTTGATCTCGTAGATCTTCAGCTTCCTCTTGATGCTGGTGTTCTCCCGCTCCAGGCTCGCCAGCCGTGTTTTGATTTCCTGGTAGGCGGAGATGAGGGCGAAGTGCGAGGCTGAGTAGACGTCGTCAGCCGGAAGGGGCGAGGCCCTCCACGCCATGCTGCCGCAGCCATCTTCCTTCAGGCCCCCGGCGTCGCCGCCCCCTCCCAGCAGCCCCAGCTCCCCGCCGCCGAAAAGAGACTGCATCGCTCAGAGCCTCAACCTGGAAGCAGACAGAGACGGTTCTTTATGAATTATTTAATCTCCAGATTGTTTCCATTCAGTTAAACGCTCCCTCCAAAAATAACCGAGTCCCAAAGTGCTGGCAGACTGTTTGTCCTGAAAACACCAGCCAGCCGCTCAGACAAACAAACAAACAAACAACAAAATCTCCAGATGATCTGAGAGTAAAATACTAAAAACTAAAGAACTCAGAGAAAGGAGCAAAACTGGAGGTCATTGTTGGTTTTTGTGATATTTAAAGGCACAAAAATCCATTTAGCCACAACGGTTTGGCACGCCTTGAAAGAAAGCAAGCACAGAAATGGCTACAACTCAGTTTATTCTACAGAAATGGAGCTGTGGTAGTAGCCGAGAGTCATCCACAACAACAGGGGTGTCGAGCTAAGTTACACAAGTAGGTCATTATCTGTCAATATTTGTTTAAAAATTACATTTAACAAATTATTATTGTAGAACAATGAATGATTCTTTCCAAACTATGTGTTATGTAACATTTAAAACATACGGATATGGGAAAAAAAGTATTAAATTTTGAAATTTTTGATTCATTTTTTTATATAAACTCTTTGTTTTATTATTTCTTAAGAGATGCATTTAATCACAATCCAGCAAATCAGGTTAAAATATCAATTATTTGACTTTAAAATAAGAAAATACAGAAAATAATGAATAAAGTTGATTCTCTGTTGCTCTATCCTCACCAACATCAAACTTAACTGAAAATTTTTATTTTAGTTTTCTTGGCTTGAAAGTTGGTCAGAAGATTGTTTTAAATACAGTGACAAAAGGAAAAATCATACAACTTGTTTTTTTTTTTACCTTTAAAGAATTACCTTTATGGCCGGATAAAATGGTAATGAGGGCCAGCTGAGGCCCACGGGCCTTGAGTTGTCAAAATATTTTATGCAAATGTAAACAATTTCAATTTCAAACCTACAACTCAGCTTTCGTCTTTTCCGCTAATCATTTCATTTTGGGCGCAGCGGGCCTGATGTGTTAATCAGAACGTGATGTAAATGAGAGRTTGGGATGTGTTCTTGTTCCATTTCACAGTACTTAAAAAAAACATGAGCTCTGACAGCTCCGTGAGTGGCGTGATGAACGAGCCGACGCCGCAGCCGAACGGCGCCCGCTCTCCTTCGCCCCCAAAAGACTCCGGACAGCGCTGTCGAGAAAAGATAAATGGCGCCTGTGATGTCACCATCACCCCCCCCCCTTTTTTTTTCTAAATCCAGCCACAGAGGAGACATGTGCACAGGGTTCATACCAGCAGCAGTGAGGGGCAGCGAGGCCGGGTGGATTCACAGATACTGATGGAGTTGAACAACAGCGAGCTGATTTGATGCCATCCTGACTCCCAGCGCTGCCTTGTGAGTCAGCGATTGCCTACTGAGCTATTTTCATCTGCTCCCTTCCTCCACTGAGCTATTTTTCTTCCACTTCGAGAGTGAGGGGAGCAGAGCCTCAGCCAATCTCTGAGTCTAAATCTCTGTGTTCTGAGCCGGTCCAGGAGGATGATCCAACATCTCCACCAGCAGCTCGAACGCACACAAACATACATCTGCACACAARGCCGAATAACTAAGAGCCAAACACTGACTCTTTGATGGAAACAACAGCTGAACAGCTGTTTCCTCTTAGATCCCGTGTCACGGACTCTCTCTCTCCTGGACCCTCAGGTTCTCCTGGACCCTCAGGTTCATTCACTGAAGCCCTCAGAGTTCCTCCAGACTGAAGCAACTCTCTGTTCATTAGAAAGGTACTCTGGAGGTTGATCCCATGTGATCCAGACCGTTCCTCTGAGACTGCTTCCCTGCTTCCTCTTTGCTTTTTTATCTTCCTCTCCAGAGACTGATCCCCTCCTCCTCCTCCTCCTCCTCCTCCTCCCCCCTCTGTGTCAGTGTGTAGAAATGAAAAGGCCACAGTACGCTGCTTTTGTTATTTCACCTGGAGAATCTATGGCAGCCATGAAAACTCTGTGTCGTTAATGCCTTCGTTATTTGGAAATGTYAGGTTTCAATGATTTTTGCCCCCATGGACACTTTTTATGAAAAGTTAAAAATAGTTATTGACATTCCCCACCCAGCATGGCTCAAAGTTTCTGCTTTATGCACAATAAAAGGTTTATTTAACAGAAAGGCTGACGGCTTTAGAAGCATTGGGCCTCATGCAAGAACCYTTCGTACGCACAGATTTGTGCTTAAGTTGTGCGTACGAGTGATTTAGGAGAATTTGTGGCATTCACCAATGTTTTTTTTTTGTGTACGGTGTGCAGCGCCATGACTTCTGAATAAATTAAAATGATTTAACACAGTTGTTTATACTTTTAGCAGCTCTTTTTATTCCACAGCTGACCTGCTAAAAATGACAGATTTTCTTTTCTGGATCTCTGACAGACGGACTTCAATCTCTGAACTCTGAAAGTTCTTCTTTTTAGTTTTCGCTGTCATTTTCATGAATGGACACTTCCTGATATCTGAGGCAGGAAACATAGCCTCATATGGTGTTTTTGGGGTGGTAATTATGCTAATCTCCTCTCGCGTGCACGAGCAGCTGGATAGAACAGGTGGAATTTGCGCAGCTCATTTACACACTTTTCCTGAAGAACAAAAGTAAGAGAAATTTAGGATAAGAATACGAACATGTTCTTGCATGAGGCCCATTGTTTAGTTGTATATTTTAAATAAATTATGTGTTAGAGACAACTCCAAACTGTAACTAAATATCTGAAAAATTAACTGAAGAAGAGCCGTTTTGATGTGATCTAAATGTTGATTAGTTGTGGCGCTCATCAGGTTGACCTCAAAAGTTAATCTGATGGTACAGAAAAAATTAGGGGAAAAAACTAAACTGCAGGAAAAAATTATAAATTTGTTACTGACGAATACTAAAACTACCAAATACAACCAAAATAACACAGATCCTGACAGTACCRCTCCCTCTAAGGGCTGACTCCAGACAACCCAAAACAAAAACACTGTTCTGACTTGGGAGTGACGACAAAGGAACAAATCAAAAGACAAAGGTTGAGCCCAAATTCAGGGGCTGGATCCTTCAAATTGACTGTGAATTTGGACGGTCTAACCTTCTGCTTTATTCCCGCCCTTACCCCGGCATATGTCCTGTTGCTGTGATGACGCTAAACGAAAGCCACAATAAATCAACATTAGCAAAATATCATTATATTAGTATTATTAATATTATAAAATCAGGTTTTTATTTAAAACTGTTTTCCTTTCTCTCGCTTCATCTGCCATTATGAGCAGAAAAAATATTTCTGATTGGCTTGCAATGCATTATGGGATATGGTGGACTGAGAAGGATCTAACGGACCCATCCCTTAAATCAGGGGGAAAAGGAGGACCCATTTGTCGGCGGCATTGGCGCTGTGTCGTAAGCAGCAGACGAATTTGGCCTTTGGAGGACGCAGACCCTGAATTTGGACACAGAAGTAATTTGACCACAAAAATAAACCATCAGGGTAAAAATGCCTGGAGAAAAAAACAAAAACATCCAACACTAGTTCAGGCGGACGACGTTGGACGCTCATTTCAGTTTTTGTTCATCTGCTTGTTTTAACTTTATGCTCAGCTTTAGCTTCTTCAACAAACTTCAGCAGTTGTTCAGCACTCTGACGTCACACTGCTTTTTTGTAGAAATGTCTCATTGATAAAARTACAACAAAAAGACACCGTAAAGGAAAGAAACGGCACATTTTATTGAAATTACTCCAGCGTAGCATTTGCTCAACATGGAGCCGYTTTGGTGACGATGGATTAAAAACATTTAATGAGTGGCCGTGAGATGATTATTGTTTTTTGTGTACAGTGCCCTGGGATGATGTTTGTTGTGATTTGGTGCTATGTACGTAAATAAACTGAACTGAACATACTTCAGTCACTTACGACTCAGCATMATGTAATTATAGCGTTATATGCATTATATATTACTGGATTAGACGTCATGTGACCTGGGTGTGCTTCGCAAGGATGATTTTTATGCATTGAGCTAATGCTAAAGCTAACCACTGACATCAATGACCAGAACGTAACGTGGTGCAAACAAAAGCTTTATAAATGTACAAATGGTAGAAATACTTTGCAATAAACTGCAGAAATTGTTACAACATGTTTACAAGAGTCATGTTTCACAGGTAAATATTACGCATGTTTAACCAAAATTAATTATTTTGATAGTAAAACCTCTATGCTAACATTAAACTGCTTCAATATTCATGTTTAACCTTATTTAAAATCGATTTTATCTGTTGTCAAATATATTATTTACTGATATTAAACATGTAAATATGGACTTTATTGGATTGTTGACTAGTTAGACTGCAAGAGGCATCCCCTTTGGATGAAACATACACAAAAAAGTTCTAATAATAAGTGTGGGGTACCTTTTGAACTGTTAAAAATAAAAAACAGCGTATTCATAAATATAATCAAACTCCAGCAACGTCTGTATCTCTGCTCAAAATAATCTTGTGGCCACGAGTTATCTTGTGGCCACGCATTAATTTGTTTTAATCCAATGTGAGCAAACAGCTTACGTTTAGTTCCAACATCCTAAACAGAAAACAAAAATATTCAACATCATCCTGCTTTTTTGTCATATTTTCTGTTAGCCTGATGACATTAGCATTCAGTTTCATGTCCACTCTTATAATCTCATTACTCCCACCTTATCTGAAACTATATTCTGTAAAATGACTGATGACACCAGGGAGGGGACGCATTAGACCACGTCTTAGAATACAAAGCGTCGCTAATACTCACAAGATGGTCGCAAATTGAGCCACAGAGATAAGCAGTCATTCATCAGAAGTTTTTTTTAATTATTTTAATTAACCTCCGGCGCAGCTTTGAAAGCTTCGAGAGCATTCACATTTCTCTGTGTATCATTATTTTCCAACAGAGTGCCTCATAAAAATGAAATACAGAACAAGTATTGTGTTAGCATTGGTGCTCGTCTGTC